TTAAAAAAAATTAAATAAAAGAGAAGAAATAAGAAATAGGAAATTAAAAAAAAAAAAAAAAAAAAAAAAAAATAAGAAAACTATGTACTGATACACCACCATCCCTTCTCGACCAAAACAAAGAACAAGCTCTAAAAACTAATCAGCCATTTTCGCTGCTCCTGCACCGCTTCCGAACAATCCTGTCCAGTAAAGTAGCTGATATATGCCTCTCGCTGGAGACTCTGGCGCGCAACCTCACAGTCAATCCGAATATCTTCGACCAAGGCTTCCAGCGACACGTAGTCGTATTCTGGACGGATGTACCCCAGAATCAAAAGATTAAGCTTTGTGCCGTAGAAGTCAGGCAATTTGTTGAATTTCACTTGACCCACCTCACCATTTGCTGTCGGTGATGGCGATGAGAGAGGAGGCATGATGTGGATTTCCTATGATCGTCAGTCGACGGATCCATACTTGATGTCATGTTGGTGAGACTCTAGGCAAGGGATAACCTACCACGGATCGAGTGGTGTTCTTGTAGAAGGGATTGTATCCGATACTCAGCACAGCTGGAAGGATTGTCGCTTCTGATGTGAATCTGGACGGATCCAATGCGACTACTCCGTAGTACACCCCAACTTGTAGATCGGGATAGTCTGATAAGCCATCTGGGGGAATATTGGCTGTGGGGATTCCCAGCTGGCTAGGTTAGTTTCCTGGACACTGGGGAGAAGATGTAGCTACCGAGAAGTGGCGATCGATACAACATAGAGTGAAGCTACATGAAACTTACCTCTTTGCTTCCCCGCCCAAAACCTTTGATCACCGGACCGGATAACTTGATCGGAAATGGAGGCTCTGGGCCACTGTCTGGCCCGGTAACAGAATCTCGGGGGCCGTCTGGACGCATTATTCGTTTCTTATAACAAGTCTATGGACTGAAATCCAGCGTTTGTCTGGCAACGAGCAGCAACTGAAAGTGAGCAAAACGGTGGAATGTGGAAGAAGCCCGCGGTATCGATAAGGCGGCGATGCGGGGGTATCGACCGTGACAGTATCGGTACGTAGTGATTGGTGGGAGTGGTACGGTATTACGGAGTACTATTGGGTATCTTGCCTATGTGGTGCCTGAGGCGGAGAGGCCGATAAAGCAAATGATGATATCAGTTCACTTTTCTTCCTACCTCTACTTAACTATGTATGTAGGACATTTGTATCTAATCAATTATTCTCTTTCTCCGCGGTTATCTTGTTTCCGATATCCCTCAAGACACCCTTCCTGATCTTTCCACTCCCCGTTACAGGATACTATCCGATCGGATCGCCGGGTCCAACCCAGAAGACGTGGACCGGGGCCTTGTGTCGACCAAGGACCTGCCATATCCAGTTTTTCACATCAGTTAGAGAAGGCCTATTATGTTGTGTGGTTGATTGAAGAAAGGCAGCAACGATCTCGCCGTATTTATCATCCTTAAGTCCGACAATGGCAGCCTGCTCAATGTCCGGGTGCTCCATAAGCCTTTCTTCGATTTCCGTAGGATAGATGTTTTCCCCTCCTAATTAGTATCAGTCTATCTGTATTACTGACTTGAATTAAGCAAGCTCACCCCGGATAATAGTGTCTTTGATCCTTCCCGTGATGCGACAGTATCCTTCCTCATCTATAGATGCTTCGTCGCCCGTATGGATCCATATCACGCCGTTCTCATCACGTACCAGAGCTTCAGCTGTCTTTTCTCCGTTCTTGTAGTATCCCTTCTGTAGCAAATACCCTGATATGCAAAGCTCGCCCTGGAATCCCCTGGGGAGGATGTGGTTCTGGCTGTCGACGACCTTGGCCCGGACGTGGGGAAGTGCTTTGCCTACAGTTTCCAGCTTCTCTCTAGCTGGGTCTGTGGCTGCTGTCATGAAGCTTCCGGCGGATGTTTCGGTCATTCCTAGGCCAATATATCAATATGAAATAAATAAAAATAAAAAGCGACAAGGACCCAGCGCCAGGTCAGCAAAACAAACCGTAAATGATTCTCAGGTCCATGGGACTGAAAGTCGCCTGTATTTCCTCCAATAGACTCGGTGCTACCTTCATCCCTCCTACCATACCGGCTCGGACAGTTTTAACCTCCACTTTTCTGTGCTGGAGCTGCTGCAATATAGCCACGAACATAGTTGGAACGCCATGCAGCACGGTACATCCATGGCGTATCAAAGCATCCACCACTGCAGAGGCGTCAAAATCTCGATTTGGAAAGACAATGGTAGCACCACACACAAGTGAGCATATCAGGCCACTGACGAGGCCGAAGGCGTGAAACAATGGTGGCGGGCAACAGACAATATCATCGGGCCTTAGATTCATACGTTTACCGCACATGCGTCCATTGTTGATAATGCCACTGCTTGGTCAATGAAACCAAACCTTTTCAATATGGCAATGTGAAAGCCTTACAAATGGCTAAGCATAGCAGCTTTTGGAACTCCAACCGTTCCGCTGGTGAACTGGAGATAAACTGTATCATGACAATGCACTGAGCGCTGCGCTTGATGTAAGGCTTGCTGTGGCACCGAGTTCCCTAAACGTAGAACATCATCTGTTCGGATCAAGACGGTCTGCTTCAGGCCAGGGACTGGGTGGGACTGGATGTGCTGGATGAGAAACCTCGTTGGTTTGAAGTTCACCATGTCACCTATGAAGAGCAAAGAAGGCTCTGCTTCATTTAGCAATGGACCATTGTGTCTCCGTTCACTCACCTTAGATCAGTCGAACTTACCTGTATGCCTGATGGCCCGGTCACACTCTAGGAATGTGAAAGTCTTATTTAGTACCACCAGAACAGCCCCAATCCGAGCCATAGCAATAACCAACTCGGCAAACCGTTCATCGTCCCCCGAGAAGATCGCAACTCGATCACCCCTGCCGATACCCATGGCAAGCAGGCCTTTAGCAAGAACCTGTGTATTATGGCTTAGGACTTGGAAACTAAGCTGAGCGCCACTCCACGGGACAATGATGGCGTCTTTAGACCCAAATCTCTCAGACTGCTGGTCCATAAGCTGTCTCAACATCAGATGACAGAGGGGTGGCTCGCTGGGTCCCTGGACAATAGATAAGGAAAGGGGTGCCATCATTGTAGATCGAGATGCTTCCAATTCATTTCAGGTGAAGTGAAAGAAAGGAGGAACTGTCTGATCTAGTCAAGCCTTTGGATCCCTTGTTTGGTAAAGCAGTCAAAGTGCGGTTAGGATGGTCTTGCTGGACCATAAAGTAGCACTATGTGTTTGGGCTTGCCAGGGGAACAAATACCTGCCACTGATTCACGCCTTGAAACGGTCTGGTCGGTTTCTTCATTGTTATGCTTAATGCAGCGGTACCTCTACATTCACTCCTTTGTATCCAAGGTAATTTACCTTTTCCTTGGTGGTGATGAGACTACCCATCTCCCTGTTTCACTATAGAGATACTCTGCCATGGTCGGGGGCAAGGGTCACCTACTTCGCTCGTTCGGGAAGAATGTACCACTCTTAATATGTGCAGACACATATATACAATAGAAAAATCAGAAACAGAGGAGCCCCATAAACAGCTCCTTGGGAATCATACAAACACTTATGTACCAGTGCCAGGATACAAGGGCATAGCAATAAAATCAAAAGGGAGCAACAAGACAACAAAGAAAAAGAACACAACATTTTTTTAATCCTCCCAAAAGTTGACCGTACATGTGAATTATAGCATCAATGGTAGCTTGCATTACCCATAATACAATAAATAAAATCAAATGCATGGCAAGAACTATTGATGCGTTAGTATCCTCCTATCCGGGGAAAGCAAAAAAAAAGGGGGGGGTTCGCTCACATTCATCACAATAAGCATAGGAATGTCGAATACGTCTCGTTTTACTGTCCAGCAGTATGCGCATTCAACCTTGCCGTCTTTAAAGCCCAGTTGATTCATGCCCGCTTCGCTGGCAATCCCTCCTTTGCGGAGATGATTGTTCCACCGTTGGTTGTCATCCGACTGATTCTCCATGTCCTCCTTCGTTTTGTATTTCAAGAGTTTGCAAGTCGTCATGACACTACCACGTGAGTCCCCAAAGGCAAGTCGGGCGAAATCTTCATAGAATTCCACCACACTGTCGTCATCAAGCAGCTCAGCCAAGAAAACTGGTTGCGGGCGACCAGGAGTGCTTTCCACCACGGAGCCTCGTGGAGTAAAGCTCCGTGATGATGTACCCGAGCCCGGAACAGAGCCACCTGTATTGACATTCAGGTTGGGCTCCTTACCTAAAAGGACATCTTTCTTCCACCCGGTAAGGATACTAAACTCCTTTCCTACAGCCGCAATTTCCCCCGTGCGTCGACAAACGATGGTTGGGGTACCACACGCATTGATGAAGTCTTCATATTCGAACAAGGTTCGTTGGAAACATTTCTCCATGAATATTAGGTCGTCCCGGTTCAGAGTCTTGGTCGTCGCAATGAAAGACGGGCGGATCGACGCCAGCGCCTTAGCGATCTGTAAAGTCTTCTGTGGCGAGAAGCGTCGCTGAATGAATGCGGTCAGATTATGGAAACGATTGGTGTAGGCATACGGCTCCTTGACGTTCTCATATATGGATGAGGGGTTCCGTTGGCGTCGTCTAACCCCGACCTGCAAGTTTTGGTGCTTTAAACTCGGTGTCGTGATCGTAGGTCGTGGTCCGTTCGCAGAGAGGCCATTTGACTTTGCTGTCATAGCACTGCTGAACGTAGCGTCGTCAAAGCCTGTCGTCATTTGAGGACTGGTCGTTGCATTAGGGCTAGCAAAGCCGCCAGGGCCGCTTTCAATCGCAAACGCATGTGGCGCATCTGCTTTAGTCAAGTGTCCCGGTATTACACTTCCTTGGCCGGACTGCGGGTAAACACCTCCGACATTTACATGAGTTTGGCCCGTAGGTTGCCCACTAGACCATTCATTCAGAAGAGGGTCGCCAAAAATGAACGGCTGTTGACCGCCAGGGCTCTCGCCGAAAGTTGCAGCGCCAGCGATCGGCGTACCAGAGAATTGAGCCGAGCCACTACGTCCCATTGAGCCTCGCTGGGTAGCGGAATCACTGGGTGAGTCACCAGCCCCAGTAGCCATATGTCCAAGCATACCAAACTCCAACGCACCATAGCGATTCTCAAAGTTCATACTAGACAGATCAAAGTTAAAGAGGGCCGGGTCACTGGGGTCAAAGAAGGGCCCGGCAAATGGGTTTTGGCTTGGGTTGGTCGCGCCGGACACGCCGGTGCTGGGCGGCTGCTGACCAACTTGTGATGAAAGGCTGTTGTTTCGAGCGGCAGGGTTAGTTTTCAGGGTGAATGTCGGCGAGACAGGGGACTGGGAGGTGAAAGAATTTTGGTTCATAGTATTTTCCTGATAGACACTATAAGAGTTCGACTGCGGCGTAGGGTAGAAATTGGGACTGGAACTCGGCTGTGTAGTGGCATTAACTGCATTGGCGCCATTTCTAGACAAGGGCAAGTTATTGCGCATCGAGTTATTATAGAAATTCCCACCAATTCCAGGCATCAACGCTCCATCTGGCGCATCATGAAGATATTTGGCTTTTTTGCGAACCCCATCGTGACACGCATCTTGGAGACCGCGTTTGATACACCGTTGACACGGCCTTTCGTCACCTGTGCGCAACTCTATATTAGTATTGACTTGGCCCACAAGCTAATCACATGCAGTAAATACATCGGCTGGGCCCTCTCTGTGCCGCACATGAGAGCAACGGCACAAGGGAGGAAAGGGGGGAGAGAGAGAGGGAAACCATGCGAACAAAACTGAAAAGAGGTCAGTGTAGCGTACCGCAAGTCAGATGCGCCCGTTGACAAGCAAAGCAAGCCCTCCGTGCTTTCTTCCGCCGTGGTCTTGATGGATCCTTCGGGTTCGGTTTCTGGCCAGTTCCCGCAGGCGCATTACCATCGCCATTGCTCTTGTTCTTGGGCTGCTCTGGCTGTTCCCCGACGCCTCCGGTCTCCAGTTCGGCCCCTCTGCGGTCGGCTGGGGGTGCTGGGGTGCTATCCTGTGCATCCACCGTCATGGTGACATGAAATATCGAAGGCGAGTTATGCGACCCTCAAAGTCTATTGCGCGTGCTATTCCGCGGTGTAGCCGATGACGGGAAGGGTCTGACGTTGGAAAGCCGAAGCAACTACCGCTTGCCACACCTATGCTATTCTAAATAAGACCGCGTCGTCGCGCCGCGAGCCAGCGCGCCCGTAGGTATCCAGATTGCCGGCTCAATATTGATGAAAGTTGTTCCTAATCCGGGAGTAGTAGAAAAGTCCTTCGTTGGCGATCTGGGCGCATAGATCCTCGATCTAACGGTTCGTAGAGGCTCGAGAGAGACGGGGCGACGGCGGACCGGTAACTGGGAGCGGAGGACCTTGCGTGCTCGGTTATTGTGGATCAGAGAGCAGCTCTCTAGTTTTCCACTAATCAACCCGGTTCGATAATTAACCAAAGAGTCCGAAATACAAAACAAATCTGAAATTTCCCTTTTTGCTTGTACAAATGTCTCAATGAATCAAGTTTGTTAAGTCTTTTTAATCGCGATAGCACGGGTGGAGCAAAAGTTTTTCTCGGGGCTGCGGGGAGGCTCCAGAGAGTCGCCGAGATAAGATTCCAGGGTAAGGAAAGGAACAATGCGGGAAATGGCTTGAGATAAGTGGTGTATTAAAATGGGAAAAAGACAAGGAGGGGAGAGTTCAACCGTGAGGGGAGAGCGAAAGATGTAAAGAAAGTGTGTGGAAACGCGGGGAAAGATTGGCAGTTAGTAAGGCTAACTGAAGTAGTGGTTGAAATTTTTTTTTTTAAAAAAAAAAAAAAAAAAAACAAAATAAAAACAAAAAGAATAAAAAGAACACTACAAAAGTAG